GGATTTGGCAGCGAAGGCTGCTCCCAGGAGTGCCCAGTGAAATGCCGATGTGCCAGGATGCAGAGGGAACACATTCTTAATTCTCATGGTCCAGCACCTTGTGGGATGGGGCACACTAAAATGAAAGCCCTGTTGGGACAGCAATTTCAGCTCCCCTTTGACTCCGTCATTTCACAAGTTACCTTCCTCTTTTGATTAGAAGGAAACCCAGGTTCCCCCACCCCAGCCAGGAGCAAGGTTGCCCAGAGCTGTGTTGCAGGAAGGCAGGTAAATGTTTGTGACTCCTCAGAGGGACTGGCAGCAGTTTCACACCAACTGACTGAAAAAATTTGCCTGAAACTGCTCTGAGAAGATCCCAGGGGACTGGGGTGCTAGGTGGGGACTGCCAGCTCCTTTCTACTGCCAGGGAAAGGAAATGTTGTGCAGGAATAAACATGGCTGAGGAAAGAATCCCTAACACTAGCACGGTGTATGATCTCTCTGTCATTGTGTTCTCCTTCCACTAACCATTTTTTGTGGTATTTAGTTGCTGGCCAGGGTTAAACCACACCACCTTCATCTCCTCTTAAAATTCCCCATTACTTGTCTTCATCATTCCCTTGGTTTCTCTGCCTTTTCAAACACCTTCCCATCCTCTCCTGCCTTCTTCAGTTTCTTTTTTAATTCCCACTGCGGGTTTCTCTCCCCTTTCAGTTCATTGCTGACCATTGCATCTAAAGAGCAGTTGGTCTCCACCACTCTGAAAACGCCATGCACCGTCTTCCCCGCTCAGAGGTAGGAGCCCTACACCTCCAGTGCCCAAGCACAACCTCTTCATGTCTCTACTCCCTTCACTTGCTGCCCTTGAGGCACATGGTCTCCCTCACTTGCTAGACTAGTAACCTTATGCCATCTCAGACTTGGCATAACAGGAAATTTATGCAGGGATCAGTGGCAATCAGCAGGTACATAACCATTTGCTTTCAAGATTTAGTTAAGTGGAAGTGGCAGGGGTAAGATCCAGGGCTGGCACCAATTTTTGCCCTGCTGACTTTCATGTTGAACCCATTAAAGTTTCCTGCTCTGTGTATCTAGCAAGGCTTCCGCATACCAGAGCCAGAGTTTTCCAGTCTGGTATCCAGAGCTGTGCTGCAACTCATTGTGGCCAAATCAGTTGGCAACAGCTCACCAGAAACACTTTCGGAGTCGGTTATGAGATGAGATAGAGCTGCAGGGAGATCAGGACACTCCTCTGTCTCATGGTCCCTTAGCCCTCTGTGACTGTGTGGCTCACAAGACATTTATTACCCTGGGCATTCACTTGTGTCACTCAGTAGAGATCTTGACCCTGGACTGCTGTGGCCCTTGACATAGTGAGAGTCCCCAGAAGGGACTGGCTTACTTTCCAGTAGGCATGAGGCACTGCTGTGCCATGCCTCCGAGGAGGAGAAGGTTACAGTACACCTTGGCAAGGTGAATCCTGGCCACCACTAAACTTCACCAACACATTGTCCATTTCTTTCTTCTCTAAAAATATCATAGTCCTGCTTAAAACAAAAAGGGGAAAAAAGTTTTCGGGGAAGGTGCTCTGGACAGAAGGAATGCTAGAAAGAGTGACTGTTCTGAGAAGTTAAGCGTGGTTTTCAGGCACATAAACCAATGTACTGTGTGACACCACTATCAGGGGACCCCTCTGCAGCAAGGCTGGTTTCAGATGCTTCCAGCACAGCTTGGCAATGCTGGTGGGGCCACAAGGCATGGGGGCTTGGACCCAGACCATCTCTCTTGCCCCACACAACATATAAGCTGCATGCCCACAACCTGTCAGGTTGCCATCTTTGATCCTGCATAGCTTATGAACGCTTTCTGCAGCCTGCATAAAAGCCCTGGGTGTGCATTTAGAGATCTCTGGGCGCAGGCTCTGTCAGCGGGCGGCGTGGAGCAGTGGGTCTGGCTCATTCAGAGACAGCACTTACTGCTCTTCAAAAAGGCACACAAAGGGCCTCTAAACAGGAACGGCTGACACCACAAGCCTGTATTTTAAACCAGTTCAGATCAAACACTAAGGAAGTGCCAAACCAAAGAGCTCTCTATTTCCTCTGCTTCCCCTGTAATCCACCCCACTGTCTGCCGGTGCCTGGGAGCGCTGCCGGTCTAAAAGTTACCAGCCTCCTTTCACACTCAGGAGAGCTGGTTTTATCTGTCCTATCCCTGATGGCCTCCAGCTCTAAAGCATCCTACCAACCCACCTTTAATAAATTAGGACAATTACTTGGGGCTTCTCAAGGATAATTGCTAATAAAATTCAGCAGATTTTCCCCAAAAGACATGAAAGAGTTGGAAGCAGAAACAGAAACTAAAGGGGAAAGAAAATGAAGGACAGAAATAATAGCCCTTGTACCATTCATGTCTCATCCACCGCTGGTGAGTTTTTGTTCTTAGAGTCACATATTTCTGAGGTGAATACTCCCAAGCTGTCTCCAGTGGGGGAATGCCACATGTCCGCTGCTTTGGAAAACTGGCTGGTTGTTTTTGAAGTAAGTTACAAGATCTTCATGAACCTAGAAAAAGCCAGGAAAGCCTCATGCTTGGATTTACAAAGAATCAGCATGGCATCAACAAAAGACAAAGTCACAAGAAGTCAAAGGTGTCCAGATTCATCCTGACTTTCTCTGACAGGAACCCCTTCCAATCCTTTTTTTTCCAAAGAAAGTTTAATGCACAGAAGCAATGAATTCTGAAGCCAGGATGGTCTTAGATGTTCTCTTGAGGGACTGTGGACACCGATACTTCTACACAGTCTAGGTTCAAGACAGTTGAGGAGCTATTCAGACCATCAGGGCTGGCTCCCTGTGGACAAAAGTAGACCAAACAGATGAGTTAGGTGTCTCTTGTAGGCAGCCCAAATGGCAGGAACCCCAAAACACACCAACTAGGAGCAGGAATAACCAGCGTTGTTTTCTGTGTTACTAGGTTATCACACAGGGTCTACAAGAAGAGCAGCTCAGGGACTGCAGAGCCATTGGATGTGTCTGTCGTATAGGAACATGAGGCTGGTAAAGGACTAGGAGGGTCACCAAGCCCTGTCTCCAAGTAATCTGTCTGTCAGTTTAACTGGGAGCAAATTATAGGTATGACTAACAAGAAACATGAAATGGTACCGGCATGTCTTGCCTCCAGTCTGTCTCTACTTGTGGCACACAGCCAGTACTACATAGGAAAGCAAAAAAGCCTCTGAAACTAAACTATATCTTGGAGGAAGGGGGAGGGAGTTTTCTTCCTGAGCAGGCTGCTGACAACAGCCCTGAGCATGGGATTTTTGTGGGATAGATATAGGAAAAAAAATGGCTATGCAATCTTCTTTCACATTCTCTCAAATACATCAGCATATCACAAACGCAAGGATTCTTATCACAAGTGTAATTTTATGTCATTATGATTCTATTACGTAGTTATAAAATCCCTTTCACAAGCTCACGGAGCTCCACCTTCAGAAACACAGTAGTTTTCTTGCCTGCCCCCACTACTTCCTAGTGGAAGATCATTCCAGAACTTTACTCCACAGGAGGGAAAAGAGAGTCCTTGCTACATTTGATTTGAAATATAGCACATACCAAGTTCAGAATTAGACCAGGTGGGCAGCAGAGGAAATAGGACATCTTGAACCGAGAAAGAACATGCAATATCAGAAAGCTCTTCACACCATGATTAATATCTCCCTGCTCCTCCAAGTCAGCTAAGATGCTAAAACAATTAAGGGTGAAATTCAATATTAAATAGGATCTAAATTTGCCTTTTGTCATCTAATTTTCCTTCCTTGCATTTATCCTTCAGTAGATCAATATCCTGAATTCCTGCTTCTGCATGGTGTCTCTTCTTTAAGCTTCTGTGATGTTAACACTGCATGCCAGTAATCCTGACAAGCAAGCCACTTCCCTTCAGGAGAGGTAATGAATCTAAATAAAAACAGTATTGTAGAAGTGGAGAGTCAGTATATGTTTCCCATCAAAAGGCAGGACTCACTTTGGGATCACTGCATGGCAGAAAACACCAAGAAGTCTCTCCTGGCAGGGTTTATCCAGTGCTTATAGCTGATACCTACTAACCAGAGCCCCCTTGATCCAGGAGACACAACCCTATATTGCAATAGGTCCAAACTCCTCTTTGTTTCAGTCTGTTTCTGCATTGGTCACACCAGTAGATGATATGAGCCATATGGAGGTGTCACAACCCATGGACTCACCTCCTTGTCCTTTAACAGCCAAGAGTGAGGGGATCATTTTGTAAATTGCAGCCTCGAGCACTTCAACTGTATCTATGACCTTTGTGTTTGAAACTATGCTGATGGTTTTCTTCATTTATGAATTATTCCTTGTACAATGAAAGAAACATCTGCCAATCTATGAATGTAGAACAAATCAATTCCTTAAGGCCAGCAATCCTCCAACAGTCTGTTCTTCAATCCAGATAAATCAGGCCCTTTTTACATGAAGGCTTCATGAATTGTGAAGTGAGTAATCATTAAGTGTTTTAAGAAAATGGTCAAGAGTTCTCAGAGACTATTGTAGACTCCAGAAAATCACTGAAGTTTCTTCCAATCATGGTTTGTAACTCTGCAATGTTTTCTCCCAAGGCACATAACCCTCTAACGCAGCAGCTCCTAACTATTCCCCTGGCATCCCCACTTCCACTCCGCAAGGTAGCAAGTGTGGTCACACACCCTTGCTTGGGAACTGCTTTCCTAGCATATATTCTTCATGCTGTAACATGTTTCTAGCACCTAAGAGTCATCTGAGCCTGCTTTGCAAAGTATTTAGAAATGAAGTCTTAAAGCGATGTGACCCACAGTACAAATTAACACCCAGCAGACTCAGTTGCAACTATTTGCTGCTCTGTATTGCAAGCAGAAATGACTGGATGCTAATGTTATTACTGGGAAATAGCATTAAGGGATGGTAATTTGATCCAGGGCACCCACATAGATTTAACCTTGGTGGCAGTAGTAATGATTTATTCAAATTATAGCATTACCTTGAGGAGCCAAATTATTTCGTGACCCCATTGCAGGAGAACTGGATCCAGCCACCATCTTGAAAGGGAGACTACAGTGATGCCATGCCACACGAACAACAGTGCACGCCGCTCAGGGCAAGGCTGGGGAACAGCAGGGTTCAAACCCTCCCAGAAAATCTTTCTCTCTACATAGTCAGAGGAGCCTACGTCCTGGAGAGCACAGAGGACAAGGGGATGGGAGACCAAGGGTTTTTTTCCTTAGTATTCCATATATAGACTGGGCCAGTATAGTAAGCAGTCCTTGCTCATTCGCAGAATCCCACTGATTCTGACACCAAAGACTGCACTGTGATTCCAGATTTGCTGGGGCAAGCTCTGTCTACTTACGCCCCTAAAGTCTTGTACTCACAAAATCAAGGATCTGCATTTCTTTTCCAGGGCAATTTTTTCCAGGTAAAAAGATAGGTGGAAGAGCAGGGCCATGAGGAACTCATCTAGTTTCTCATTCCTAAATGGAAGGTAGAAAGGTCACTGTGAAGTCTGCAGATTTGCAGATATAGACACCACCAGATCATTAGGAAAAAGAACAAAGCCTCTGCTCGGGGGCCTGCATTATACCAAATATTAGCTATATGGTTGAGACCTATTCGTAGCAAGCACTCCACCCCACACTAAGACTTTGAAGGCTTTTAGAGAATTACTAAGAGAGTCCAATAAACATGCTGAAGAGTGGATTGAATTGGATGTTACCAGGCATACTTCCAAGAAGGATGTTTTCTGCACTGAACATTCTGGAAGAGTGACATTCACATTCAAAGGAAAAGGGGGACAACTCAGACAACTCTCCCCTTCTGAAAGGACAGTATGGCTAAAGCTCAACAAGGTCTACAAATACATTCCTAAGTCAAAGGCAATGCAGCCACTGTATGGCCCTGGTGATCTCAGGGATATGCCTCTGAGATATGATGCTCCGCCTGCTGCCTCCTCTCTTTTAGCCTATAGAGAAGTAATGCCGATAAGCAACAGCAGCAAATAATGAGCCCAGTAGCTCTGATGGGAACAGCAGCAGCACAGGAAGGCAGTCCAGATTCCCAGTCGTGTTAGCGCTTCTGGTGCACACGGTGTTGTGGATGCGCTGGCTAACAGGGAATTTAACTTAGAGTAAAATGGATCACAACCTTCAGATATTTAGGCCCAAATTCTTGGCTTCCTTTAGGTAACAGAGTGGAAGGCTTTCAAACAGGTAATACGATTATTTCTCTGCATGTGTCAAGAACAACATGCATTGGGCATTGTCTCCCACTGAACCTCACAGATGAGAGATTTTAAACCTCTGATATTTCTTATTCTACTCCTCATACACCCTTGTCCCTCCACTACCAGCTACACACACATAATTCTCAAAACAAACTCTAAATGACATACCTCATAACTACTGCAAATGATAACATGTGATGTGACTCTTGCTTCTTTCAAAAGCAAAGCAGCATCTGAAAACATACAGAGGAGAAAAACAATATTTTCTCCAAAAAATTGCTAGTGTTAGTAGAAATAGCTTTCTGACTTGTATGGGCGATGCCTTGCTGATATGAAATACCAGCAATTACTCACATTTGACATCATCCAACGTCATATATTCGTGTTGTAGCCACTTGGACAGCCTATGCAATTTCCCTTCCTTGTCAGCCAGCCTTCTTTCAGGGAGTGTTGTACTCCAATCATCTTGGAAGATGCTAGTGGATGACCAATACATAACACTTAAGGACACAGTGTTAATTCCAGTCTGAGAATATTAAGATTATCTACCTGGTATGTACTCTCTTCACTGCACTCAGTTTCAAAGGGACAGGCAGTGAAATGTGTTTGGCAGGTATCCTGAACTAACTTTCAACTATTATAACAACAAAACAGGCTGAGGATGTTGAGAGAAATAGGACATTTCACCTCTAAGGTTGCGTCTGAAGTTGCTCTTTTAGTTGCTAATATAATAAATTATTATTTAGATCAAAGGGGTTTTAAGTAATGCATGAAAGTCAGCTATACTATGTTGTGAATTTATAAAATTAATAATACTACTTTAATCTTTGAAGTGCCTTACACAGATGAATTAATTACCTCACAATACGCTTCAGAGTGGATGAGAATTATTACCTCGTTCTGAGCGGTCTGGAAAGAGCAACAAAGATGCTGAATGACTTTACCAAAGTCATACCAGGCTACTGCCTGAGCTAGCATTCAACACCAGGCATGTCTGGCTCTGTTTTTAAGTTCAGACCACTCACCCACCCTGTTGAAATGACAGCTGGCTTCCTGTTTCACGTGCTCTGTTCAGACATGATCCTCAGACAATGAATGAAAATATTCCCACCCAAATGATCTTGTTTCTTTTTGAGCTAGCCTAGTCGAATTGAGATACCTCTTTAATGTCTTGTCAAGCATTTCCTGAAAGTGGATATTTTTTCCTTCCTTCAAGTTTTCCTTAGCTGCTGGATTGTAGCTGAAATACAGAGTATGAGCGTGCAGTAGTATGAGTTTTAAATTACTAGCAGCAGTAAAAAGAGGTCAACATGCAGTGATACAAAGGCATATCTATTTTGGCCTCTGACCCTGAGAAAACGTCTGGGTTGTGGTGAGGAAAACGTGAGACATTGTTTTCAAAAACAGAGATGCAAAAAGCAAAGGGGCTTCCCCAGGTCCTCCTGCTGTCTCCTGCCACCATATGCACCATGCCATGTAAGCCCTTCAAGCAGTGTCTCAAGTGGCTTTAGGAAGATTTCAAATGCAAACTGTTCCGTTCCAGAGCTTTTCTTTGGGATGGTTGAGGGCAGAGACAGGCAGAGGTCACCAGGGAGCTCACACCTCTCCCTGGAGAGTTACCGGGCAGCGTCAGCGGCGTTCCCAAGCCCAACGGAGAAGTTGGCTGGAGCTGCTGAGACACAAACCATGAAAGGTGCCTGCAGTAGCCCTGTGACCCCGGGAGAGGTGAGCAGCCTGGCTCCACCATGACAAAGGCTTGGAAAATGCCCAGCAGGGCAGGAGGCAGCAGCGGGCAGCGTGTGACTGACCCACCGCCACCATGTTCCACCACGCTCCCTGCCCCGCGCTTGAGAAGAGAGCCAGGGGAATATAGTTTGGGTGTTGGGGTTTTTTTGCCACAGTGGTTTAAATGGCCTGATAAAGTCTTAATCCACAACTGTCACAGACATTCAAAGCACAATTATGTGAACTTTGTCCCCTGCAGAGCTATGGTTTCCCTAAAGGTCTGCAGTCCTCTGATGCTCACCATTGCCCATAACACCGGCTACAGGGAACATCAGTCCATGGACCTCTATCTATAGACAGGTGGGGTGGCATTTGGCCCTCATGTCCAGCACTGCTGCTCCAGTGCATGGTGCTCATTTCTGACAGATGGCAGGACTCACCCGTACTTTTAGCTGTCCCTCTGTAGTGGGTCCAGCTTGAGAGCAGTATGGAGTAAATGCATGATGCCACAGAGCAGCAGTTAAGGAACTCCAGTGTCAATTTTAAAAAAAAAAAAAAGAAAAAGTAAAAATTTGTCCTGCAGTTGAAACTGCTGTATCAAGGCCTAAACCTGCATAATTTGAAACTCAACATCATTCTTTTACCTTGCAAATTCAAGTGTGTTAGTATCATCTTTCCGGTACCCCACGCCTGGAGTTACTTTTATCATCTGCAAGACAACAGCATATAGACTACATGTCATAAATGTATGGTCAAGTTCTCAGCCCAACAGTGTTTATAACACAAGCACTCTGCATATGGGCCACTTTGTACCTTTCTTCAGTCTGCTTTTCACCTAGATGTTGTTTGTGTGCAAGTTATTTGAACAGAAGTTCTCTGAGATTAAAGGCTGCCAGTATAAGAAAGAAAAACATGTAGCTGTCCTTCTTTATGCCTTTCAGTTTATGAATAAATAATTGAAAGTTTGCTAAGAAACATCAGTTCTTTGATTGCCTGTCAATCTATAAAAAGTGAGAAATCAAATGGAGCCATGCATTAAACAACACAGTGCTTTTATTTGTTGGGTTTTTTTTGTAATATTTATGTAATTGTAGAGACGAAGTATCAGGAGAAAGGAAATCTTTGTTTAAAAATGGTGTATGTCATGCACTTTCCTGATATTCTGGGAACTTTATATAAACACCAGATAGACCCTTCAGAGGGCACTGGAGAAAACTACTAGTAACAGCATTTTACAGTATCTATATATTTTTTTAAAATCCATACCAAAAAAATCCCCTGGAAATAAATAAGATCTGTTAGTCCTTTCTTAATTAACAAGAGAGATTTGCAAACCCTTAACTATTATTTGCAGGTCACCTTTAAAGCAAAATGACTCTTATTGCTGAAATCCTTCTGCCTACAAATTTAAACTGAATGAAACTTTAAGGCTTTCTGTGACTTTTCGCCAGGTACCATTTAGCCAGACAGCCACAAGCTCTCACAAATTATTGCTCAATCTAATTTGGTAGTAGAGTGCTGGATACGGGACACAAGAATAATTTCACATCAGCCGCCAGCAGCCTATGCGATGGTTAGACCACAGAGATGAATATTAGGAAACCGTGGCTGTAATCCTTTGACAAAAAGTGGTTATTTCAACTTGTCTGTTCTAGTCTTTGGTTCCAGCTTTCTAATACTGGTTTACAACTCTCAGATGAAAAGGGCCATGCAAATGCTGCACCTTTATGTTACACACAAGGGATTATGAACCATGAAAGAAAAATAGAAAAGGTAGTAGTACAGAATCACAGTATCACAGAATGGTCAGGGTTGGAAGGCACCTCTGGAGATCATCCAGTCAAACTCCCCTGCCAAAGCAGGTTCACCTCAAGCAGGTTACACAGGAACGCATCCAGGCGGGTTTTGAATATCTCCAGAGAAGGAGACTCCACAACCTCTCTGGGCAGCCTGTTCCAGTGCTCTGCCACCCTCAAAGTACAGAAGTTCTTCCTCATATTCAGATGGAACTTGCTGTGTTTCAGTTTGTGCCCGTTGCCCCTTAACCTGTCTCTGGGCACCACTGAAAAGGGGCTGGCCCCATCCTCTTGACACCCACCCTTAAGGTATTTGTAAGTATTGATGAGATCCTCTCTCAGTCTTCTCTTCTCCAGGCTGAACAGACTCAGTTCCCTCAGCCTTTCCTCATCAGGGAGATGCTCCAGTCCCCTCATCATTTTCGTTGCCCTCAGCTGGGCTCTCTGCAGTAGTTTCTTGTCTTTCTTGAACTGGGAAGCCCAGAACTGGACACAGCACTCCAGATGTGCTCTGGCCTCACCAGGGCAGAGCAGAGGGGGAGGAGAACCTCCCTCGACCTGCTGGCCACACTCTTCCTCATGCACCCCCAGATACCATTGGCCTTCTTGGCCATGAGGGCACATTGCTGGGTCATGGTCAGCCTGTTGTCCCCCAAGACTCCCAGGTCCCTTCTCCACCAAGCTGCTCTCCAGCAGGTCAACCCCCAGCCTGTACTGGTGCATGGGGTTATTCCTCCCGAGTGCAGGACCCTACCCTCACCCTTGCTGAACTTCATTCAGTTCCTCTCCGCCCAGCTCTCCAGCCTGTCCAGGTCTCGCTGAATGGCAGCGCAGTTTTCCGGTGTATCAACCACTCCTCCCAGTTTTATATCATCAGCGAACTTGCTGAGGGTACACTCCATCCCTTCATCCAGGTCGTTGATGAACAGGTTAAACAAGACCGGACCCAGAACTGACCCCTGGGGAACACCACTAGCTACAGGCCTCCAACCAGACTCTGCACGCTGATCACAACCCTCTGGGCTCTGCTATTCAGCCGGTTCTCAATCCACCTCACTGTCCACTCATCTAGCCCACACTTCCTGAGCTTACCTATGAGGATGTCATGGGAGACAGTGTCAAAAGCCTTGCTGAAGTCAAGGTAGAAAACAGCCACTGCTCTCCTCTCATCTACCCCACCAGTCATGCCATCATAGAAGGCTATCAGATTGGTCAAGCATGATTTCCCCTTGGTGAATCCATGTTCACTACTCCTGATAACCTTCTTTTCCTCCACATGCTTAGACATGACATCCAGGATGAGCTGTTCCATCACCCTTCCGGGGATGGAGGTGGAGCTGACCGGCCTGCAGTTTCCTGGGTCCTTCTTGCCCTTTTTGAAGACTGGAGTGACATTGGCTTTCCTCCAGTCCTCAGGCACCTCTCTTGTTCTCCATGACCTTTCAAAGATGATGGAGAGTGGCTTAGCAATAACACCTACTAGCTCCCTCAGCACTCGTGGGTGCATCCCATCGGGGCCCACAGATTTGTGGGTGTCCAGTTTGCTTAAATGATCTCTAACTCGATCCTCAGCACAGCAAGGCATAGCAAGGCCTACCAAAGCATCACAGGAAGGAGAAAATACTGAATGAGTGTCCCTAGCCACTGTGCTCCCTGCCTGGGGCAGTGGGACAGGTCCCTGCCCTGCCCACCCCATGGAGCCTCCCATGGCCCCCGGGATCTGCTGCAGAGGCAAATGTGAACAGCAGCAGCAGCAAGATGGAGCTGGGAAAGGTTGGGAGACTCACAGATAGCATGGGGCTTGCCTGGGACACTGCCAGGAGGAAGGGGATAAGGCAGGCACTGTTTATGGCAGTATCCTGGTGACAGTCCGCTGTGCCCTAGGAACCCCAGATCCCAGCATGTAATTCCCCCTCAGCCTGCTCTATGGACTGGGACTCGTGGTCTGTGTGCTCTGCTCCTTCCCAGCTCTGCTAAACAGCTTCCCTGGGTAACATTTTAGTCCAAACAGGGAAATTAAGTGCTTTCCATGTGATAACACCTCCACAGCCACTCATTTGGGCTTACTGTGTTTTTGGTGGTCGGGAGCTGCAGAGGTTTTCCTGGTTACTGGCCCAGGGCTGGCAGTAGTGAGGGCAGCTGCCCCTGGTCTCTCTGTTATGGGCATTGATGTCTGTACAGCACTCTGAATGTTAAACATACTTTAGCTTTGGACTTTACAAATTTTAAAAGTATAGCTAACCAGGTCACAAGCCTGTGACATGACCTAGGTCCCTATGCGAGCAATCAGCTCAAGATTTGCAAGTTGCCCCTGGAAATAATTCCTGTATGCTAAGGCGTGTTGCTTGAGGGTGTGATGTTGAGGGAGGGGTTTTGATCTTTGGAATATTGTGAAGCATTTGCTTTTGCAAGCAGAGAATCTCTCATAATAGTCATTCACAGTGGATTAGTGTCATGTATAACTGGTACTGCTTTAGATCACACCCAAAATTGGTACAGATTATATTGACAAAATGACTTTTTGCCAACAGAAGTCAAGTGCCCATGAAGGGCGAGGTTTCACGTTACAGCTAAGCCAGTATAATAGCTAGCTCTGGATGAAAGAGGCATTCTTGCTCCCACCAAAGTTTTCCCATCATTTATCTTTGTGTTGATTCTTTATTTTCTCTGTCCCCACAGTAAGGCGGCTCCATAAACTCTCAAAAATAGTAATCCAGCAAAAATAAATGAGAAGCTTCCTGTTGAGTTAGCATTTTACATCAGTTCATGGTGGAGTCAGAGAAGGGCCAGCAGAGATGCAGATAAAGATAAGGGGACAGGGGGAGGACCACACCTTTCAATAGATCAGGTCAGCTATAAGGTGAAAACCAGCCACAATCTAGGAAAATTTTGCTAGGACAGCTGCACTAGGCCAGTATGTACTTTGAAGAGATGAAAATACCTGACCAAAGACTTTTAGACAGGTCAGTTCAGTAAGACAGAACAAACATTGCCTGTGCTTTCAGCTCTTAAAGCTGGCATCATTCATTTTTGCAATAGTTTCTAACTAGGGAAAACACTCCTGAAAGCAACACTGAGATGTTCATGACCACATAGAAGAACAAATGGACAATACAATGTGGGGAAAGAAAATTTCTGTAAAACAACCTGTCCCTAACTTCCCCCCATTTCCACAGCCTTCCAAACACTGCATCTTTTCTCCTGTAGGTACGCTTTAAAGGTTTATCCATGCAAACACAATCAGTCCATGGATAACTAAGCAAGAATCTCAAATCAGCCTGAAAATTCAGCTCTGGCTCTGTTCTCTACAGCTATCTCTTTTTTTTTTTTTTTTTTTTTTTGACAGTTGTATTGTGTATGTTGTGTTTCCAGTTGCTATTGCAGGCTGCCAAGTACATATCCATGACTTGGCAGCCAAGTTACATATTTAAGAGGATGAGAGAAGCAGGTTTGGGAACGACCTCAGATCTCATCCATGGCAGCCAGGCAGCACTATAGAAATAGGCTCCCCATCAGGGGAAAGGGGGAGGTGTGGAACTGATGGCTCATCAACTCATTTTTATAGAGCAGGGCTGTCATTAGCCTCAGGAAACCATGGGCCCATCTTGGCTCCCATAAAAGCCGTGTCAAAAGAACTGCCAGAAGTAAAGGAGATGTTGCAGATACTCAGGGCTACCTGTGTTAGCGTTCATGGTGCAGGAGGCAGGGAAGACAAGCCTTCGGCCATACTAGAGTTGGAGAAAATTGGTACAAAAAGTCCAGACAAAAGATGAGGAGAAACAAAGACTGAGAACTACCTACAGGGAGAACAACTGTGACTGTAAAGACTGGTACTAAGAGCTAAAGACAGCTGGCTAGGCAGGCAAGGAAGGCCTGGGAATCAGTGCAGCAGATATAGGTGAACTAGAGGAAAATGAAGACAAATCTTGAAGGAATTGGTGGAGAG